CAACAGTCGAGTTCTAATGGTGTGTACCGGACAATAATCGACGGTACACATCATTATACCTCAACGTCAAACCTCCTTTTTATTATTTTAACGATTATTTTAAATGTATTACTCGTGGTTTTTCGGGACCTTTAATAACGATTCCTATATCAATTTTTATAATAAATTTTTATAATCTTAAAGTCTTACGAATTGTTAGAAAAAATTGTTAGAAAACAATTCGTAAGACTTTAAGGTTATAAAAGTTGATATACTATTCGTTATCAAAGGTCCCGAAAAATTCCGCGAGTAATACATTAAAAATAATCGTTAAAATAATAAGGACCGCCATATTGGATCCGCCATTTTGAATTTTTAGAAACCGACATGGGATTCGTCATCAGCGACCCCGAAAACCCCCAAGTAACGATTTGCAAGCCAATCCAAACAAATTTTAATTATATTGTTCGCCATATTGGATCCGCCATTTTGAATTTTGATAAACTAACACCGGATTTGTAATCAGCAATCATAAAAACACCTAAGTTTTAACTTTCATGAGCTTACATAATTTTTATTGTGCTGTGTATGGTATAATTTGTTTGTTTGGAATCTTAGATGTGTTTTTGATGTTAGGTTCGATAGATTTAATGTTTCTTAGGAATTTTCAATTGAAAAGCTTATAGAATAGTTTATTTAAATTAAGGGATCTTAGAAAATTATCAACATGCGGTTAGATTCAATTTTGATAAATCAAAAGTGACCATTTTAACGATATTAGGGTATTTTTTGAGGTTAGAGCGAAACCAGGACCCATTGGCCAAATTCTGAGGGCGGATTCGGATTCAGCGCATCGATATACATCGGAATACATATGTCTCGACCCCAGATCAAGACACTTAATTTTTTTGTGTGGCTGTGTAACCATTTGTCTACGAATTTAGCAATTTTTTAAGAAAACGACAAATTGAAGTATACAGACCAAACAAATATATGAAAGTCTACAAATTCGTTAATGGTAATCTTCTGAGGTTTCTACATTAAAATACATGCAATGAAACATTAACTTTCAAAATGGCGAATATAATATGGCGGACTAAAACCTCAAAAAAGAATGGATTTTTACACAACTTGGTTTTCAGATGTTTTTGGGACATAGAATATAAATATAACATTTAAATTGAGAAATTTAACATGGCGGTTCTAATATGTCGGACTAAATTCTCAAAAAATACTCGATTTTTATACTGTTTTTAGGACACTAGAATTTTTGCTTACTTCAATTAGTTAATTCTTACTTTCACACTTTACAATTAATATTAATTCTAAGTATAAAAAATATCTCTAAAAAAGCAGTAAAATGAGGAAAAACCCGTGACGTCAGTCACGAGCGTCGGCCAGATACCGTGTGGGCTACACGACCAACGTGAAACTTTCAATTATTATTTTTATTCTTAATTTTTACATTTATCTTTTGATTCTTTTATCTTATTTATATTCTTTATTATATATTATATATAATATATATATAATATATGATATAATATATAATATAATATATATAATAATGTATATTAATTATTATTAATAATTATCATATAATTATTTTATTATTGTTATATATATTTATTATATTATATTTTCTATTATTATTATATAATTATTAATTAATTAATTAATTTTAATTGTATTATGGTATTGTTACGATAATATAATTTATTTTCTTGAATTCGTTATTTCCCACATAATATCATTATTCATATTATCGTACTTTTGTTTTTATTACTAACATTATTAATATTTTACATTTACACTGCTACCACATTTTTATATGGTCATTTTTATTAATAATATTATTTCTCCTACTATTAGATTTAGTTTAATTTTGTGTATCAGGCCGTGGTACGGAAACTGTTCTCATCGCATGGCAAAGTTATGTAGAGAGAGAACTCGGTACACCTTACACATTCCGCTGCTGCCGCTCGACTAACTCTCGCTCTACCGTACTCCGCATGCGCGCGCCTGAGTGGGGGTACCTCGCACGCGGATTGGCCCCTGCCCTGGTGGAAAGGGAACCGCGGATGCGACTCGGCAGAGTCGCATAAATATGCTGCATTTTGCCTGACCGAGACAGAGCTTACTTGGACTTGACGGAGAAAGGACGTCTCTAGTTTTCTTTGTACACCATCGCTTCGAAGGAACAGTCACTGCCCACGCTGCCTGAACTTCCGGCGCAAGTTGATCTTCAACCGTCGACACCCGAAGGAGGACCACGCCACCAGGAAGTTTCTTCTCTCTCTCTACTTGTCTCGTCTACCACCACCTGCCACGGGAACAGTAGAAGCACCGGGTCTTTCTTATTCAAGGCCAATAAAGAATTTTGTTTTGGTAACTATAGTTTCATCACTCTCTCGCCTTGTGCAAGAGCATTTCCACCACCTGTCCTTCTCAGGACAAAAACCTGCCCTTTTCAGGGCAAACTTTACGTAAGAGTGCATACAACGAGTTAACTTGTCCTTTTCAGGATTTGTTAACTCTCGTTAGAATATTTTGGTTCAACAGTGACAACCGGCTCCAGGGGACAGCGCTCTAAACCTTGCTTAGGTTCGAGCACTCGACACCTGGGGTTGAACGGGTATTGAATCCTCAGAACCCTGCTTGGGTTCGAGGTTTGTTGTCACCGATCGGCTCTGTCCACTGCTGCCGCTTATGCCGGCCACGTCAACGTGCGTCAAGAGACGCCGTCCCGGAAAGGCCGTCCGAGCGCAGGCCCAACGACGCGCCACCAAGGAACGCAACGCCGCCCTCCAGGCGTACCTGGCGTACGACCCGGATCGCCCCGAGCCGCTAGTACCGTCATCCTGTCACTTCGTGGAGTTGATCCGTGGGCATCCTGAGACAAGGGATGCGTCCACCTCGCGTCGGCGCCTTCGCTTCGAGCCCTACTAGCTCTCGACAAAACTCAATCGGCCCTTCTCAGGGCCACCACGACGTTTGCGTAGAAAATATTTTGTTCTCATTCTAACCTTTCCCCCCGCCTTTGAGTATCAGTCACTTAACACAGAGTGACCGATATCAATATTAAGTCCACAATATTGAATTTTCGCAAATTTGAATATTATATTTATATTCTACTACCCAAAAAATTATCTAAAAACTAAGTTTGGTAAAAATCGAATATTTTTTGGTAATTAAGTCCGACATTGGAACCGTCATGTTGAATTTCTCAATTTAAATGTTATATTTATATTCTACGTCCCAAAAACATCTGAAAACAAAGTTTTGTAAAAACGACTATTTTTTGAGATTTTAGTCTGCCATATTGTATTCGACATTTTGAAAGTTAATGTTTCATTGTATTTTAATGTAGACACCTTAGAAGATTACCATTAACGAATTTGTAGTTTCACAAATTTGTGTGGTCTGCATACTTCAATTTGTCGTTTTCTTAAAAAAATTGCTAAATTCTTAAATGTTTCCTGGACCAGGAAAATTAGAAAAAAACTTCTCTATAATTTTTTATTATTTTGAATTTATTTAGCTTTATTTTGGTCAAAGGATCACTCATTTTGGTCCAGTCTATCGAGAGATATTAGGTTTTGAGAAAAAAAATGCATAAAGTCCCACTGTGCGACACATAAAATTACTCCAAATAGTAAGCGGTCTTCAAATCCTGTACTTTGAAGAAAACAAAAATTTAATAGTATATTCGACTCTCGGATCTTTTGCCTTCAGTTCTTTTACACGCTCGATCCTTTTGCAACTTTTCTCCCGCACCTTTTACATTAAATAAATAAATGACTATTAGAGTGTCACAACATTTATTTCAGGATAACTTTGGTTAGGGTAAACCAGACAGTAGTCATTAATTTACATATTTAGTTATACACATTGTATTGTTTTGCGTTACTATGGTATTTAAAATCTATGCTAAAAATTATACAGTGAGAGTAGATAAAACAAATTAAAGATTGTATCAAGAATTAAAAATTTTAAGTTTATATTCTTTTCTTGTTTACATTATAAATATACCAGCGTAGAAAAAGAAAGGTATACAAATAAAGTAAGTATTCTCGTTTTTATATTGATTTCCAACCTATTGTTAAAAAAACGACAAATAATGAAATAAAAATTTAATTAATGAATTAAAAACTATTAAAATAAAACAATTTATGAAACATTGTTAATATGTTGCTTTATTGTAGAAAACCCAGTTATATTAAAATATCTATATATTAATTGATTCTTGATGTAAAGAATAAAATTTAATACATAAAGTATTCTTTATTAAAAAATAATGATATAATATTATTATAATAATAATTATTATTGCTATTACACGATTTTTTAAATGTTTTTAGAGTCGCTTAATACAAATCGGAAGTCATATTTTAAATAGAGTTTGAAAATTTAAAATGTCGGATCCAATATGGCGACAAATTTTTAAAACTGTTTAAAATCGCTTAAAAACTGTTATACAACATTTTATAAAAATATTCATCGAATTTTTTTTTTTTTTTTCATAAATAATAAAAAAGTTTATTGTAAAAAAAATTACATTGAAATGGATAAAAATTGTTGACAGTAAATATTTGCAAATAATTACAAACTAATTCTTATCATTTTTCATCGCATTCTTCATTTCCATTATAGTTTGATGTTTCTTCATTTATCAAATCAATTATTCCTGGAATAAAGTTCGGGTAAAATGATTTTCTCTTTCTCAATCATCAAATTTATTTAATTCTTTCAGAATTGCATTATTGAATTCTAATTCTCCTAGAAATTCTTTATGCGCTTTGGTTCTAAGCAACTCGTTTTTCTTTGCCAATTCCTCTCCTCTTTTTTTATTAGTACATCTTTCCATTTTTTTTTATCATTATTATATCTTTCTTCATTATTGTCAATTATTTCATTTTCCCTTGAATCATTGGTAATGACAATTTCTTCATTTGGAACATTACAATCACCAGCATTAGTACGCGAATTATCACCTCTTTTTCTTAACGTACGGACTGATTTTACACTAATATTATCCTTGTCCAACGTGCATTGGCTGCCACCATCAATTTTTCAATCGCTTCTGACGTAACATTTTCTGTATTCAAATCATTCGCAGCATTAGTACGCGAATTATCACCTCTTTTTCTTAACGTACGGACTGATTTTACACTAATATTATCCTTGTCCAACGTGCATTGGCTGCCACCATCAATTTTTTCAATCGCTTCTGACGTAACATTTTCTGTATTCAAATCATTCGTAGCAATACTGCACGAATTTTCCACATTTTCGGTTGTCTCCTTTGATTCAAACGTGCATTGGCTGCCACCATCAATTTTTTCAATCGCTTCTGACGTAACATTTTCTGTATTCAAATCATTCGCAGCATTAGTACGCGAATTATCACCTCTTTTTCTTAACGTATGGACTGATTTTACACTTATTTTATCCAAGACCAACGTGCAATGGCGGCCATCAACAGTTTTATCAGGAGCTTCTAACCTAAGACCAGCATTCGAAACATTCGCATCGACCGGACCAAAATTTTCTAAATTGAAAGTTAATTTGTCGATTGATTTTTCCTTCATATTACTTATATTTTTTGAACATGGGGGGCCATCATCACTTTCAGCATTCGATTCCTGAGTATGGAATTCAGTAACCGAGTCATCTAAATTAAAGAGTTTCTTCCGACGTGGTAGTAAGTTAACAGGTGTCTCTTCGAATGAGTTTTCGTTACGAGCATATTTTTTCGCTCTTTTTATTGCTTCTTCAAATCTTCTTTCTTCTTCATTTTTTCTCTTCTTAGAAATCAAACCAGTATCATCATCAATGTTGTAATCATCATCCACATCATCATCATCGTTATCATCATTACTATCGTTATGCTCATCATCATCATCCTTGACATGAGATGCATCAATCTTAATCCTCTTCCTCTTCGTTTTCGTTGTTTTTTTCAAAGGTGCTTGATTTGATGTTGAAGGAACAATTTTTTCTACAGCTTGCTCTCGTTGAGTAGCTACCTTAACCACACTCGTGTTTGCACCATCTTCCTTTTTTCTCGAATTCTCTTTATTCAAAATTGATTTTGAATTTTCCTCAAGATGAATAGAAGATTTTTGCGCCCCAATTTGCTTCACTGGAATTTTTCTCTTTACATTTTTCCTTAATCCTTCTTTCTGCACATTTTTTTTGGTAATTTTTTATTAACTGTAGCAGATTTCAGTTTTTTTAAAGGAATATCGAGGCTCAGGTCATCCTTATCATCATCGTCGTCATCCACATGAACAGCATCATCATCATCATTGGAACTTGATGATGTTAATAGACATATTCCACGTGTGTGTTTTGGTCCTAATTTTCTTTTTCTATATCTTATATTTTGACGATATTTATTTTTAATTCGCTGGTTTGGGACAGGAGCATTAGCAATCTCTAATTCCACTTCTTCATTTTCATTTAAATTCAAATTCTCAAGATTCACATTTATTTCCAAATTCAATGGTACTGGTTTTTTATTTAGATCATAGGCCTTTTGGTAATCATTTTTTAATCTCGTCTGAACAAAAAGCAAACATTCTTTAAAATCAACACCGTCCAATGGATGATTAGAAATATTCTCTTGAATGCAATTGTGAATTTCTAAATTGTTTCTTCTGATACAATTTCGAATAATACGGATCATGATACTGTCCATAATTGGAGGCTTTAATGCGAATAACCATCTAAAAAATAGTAAACAGTTCCTGTCCGTCACTGTTTGCAAGTTTTTTGTTTCCATTTCGTTTATTTTCAGGAAATGTAAGTAAACATAACGAATGGCAATGTGGATTGACAATTTCCATATCGGTAACATCAAAAAAGAATCAAAACCACCGCAATTTTCGAAATACTTTTGCAATGTTAAAACTCTGTTTTTAAAAACGTCCCAATTAATTCGCATTCCTTCTTTTATGAGTAACCTCAAAAAATTAATGTCATCAATATTTTTTTGATTACATTCTTCACAATCCATTGAAAATCCATTGAATCCATTGAAAATAATTTTCCAGCCTTATACGTTTTTATTTCAGATTTTTTAATTATTCGACATCGAATTTTTCATCTAGAGATAAATAATAATACAATATTTTAAAAATAATTAAATATTAAATATGTGTTTGATATAGTTCCAAAATCATTTCAAATAATTTGCAAAAGAAATATAATTTTTAGGGTTCCGTACACCTACGGTGTATCGGCGGAACCCTATTGGTGAGACTCTGTTGTCCGTAGCCAAATCGTGTCCCCCCCCTAGCGGCTAAACTATTTGACCTAAAGAGCTCAAATTTGGTACATATATGTATTTTCACACGTAGATTACAGGAAAAATATAGCGAATGTGATTGGACGTGATGGACATAGCGTTGTCAAGGAAATAACAAGATTTTTGGCCAAAAATGCATAAAAAGTGACCATTCCCCCCCCCCTTAACTTCTAAACTATTCGACATGGAGAGCTGAAATTTTGCATGCTGGTGTATTTTTACTCGAATATTACAGGAAAAATATAGAGAACTTGATATGTAATGATGGCCATAGCGTTGTCAAGGAAAAACTAAAAAATTTTAAAAAAAAATTTTTTTTCCTAACTTTTACATTATTTGACCTAATGAGCTGAAAATTGGTATCCTAGTGTATTATTACAGTCTGACGACAAAAAATTTATTTAAGAAACTTTTTGAAAAAAAATCAAAAAAAAATTTTTTTTTAATTTTTTTAAATTTTTTTTAGTTTAAACACGTGGCATTAAATATTTTAAGGAAGAGAGTGAAATTTTAAGAGAATAAATGAGAGATTGTTTTCTGACTTTAATTTCTTAACTAAAAATAAAAAAAAAATTGGACAAGTGCGAGTTGTACTCGCACTGCAATGGCGGGTTCCGCACACAAATATTAAAACAATACTTGCAACATTGATCGGTAATTAAATAATTTGCAAAAGAAATATAATTTTTTTAAGTTTACATTACAATTGATTTATTAAAACAATAAAACTAACATAAATATAAATGTAAATTTAATAATTTAGCAATATCTTCAAATTTCATCGTTATTAAAAATATTTAATTTAAAATGTCAAGAAATCTATTATTTGTGGAAGATTTTATATTAATTTAAGAGAAAAAATTATTTATTTCTATATTCCTATAACTAAAGTTTAGATTTTAATTTAACAAAATTTTAACACATAATTGAATTTCTTGGAATGTTAATTATGTAATATAATAAAGTATTATTATACATACTGCGAAATTATTTCCGTTATTTCCTTAAATGAATTGATAATATCTTTGTTATCTTTCTCATCCAAATTAATTTTTTTATTATTTGGTTCATCATCGGTACCTTCAACTTTCCTTTTGCGAGGCATGGTACTTCTTTTTCTCAATATGTTCAAAATTATACTAATGGATAAACTGTTATGTAAAACATTTTACCTCTACATTACTATTTTGGACAAAATATGTGACACGGACAGTTAGAAGGGACCTACGATCCGAAAAAAAGATTTCGAGAAAAACGACTTTGAAGTTTAGCAAGTTGATTTTGATACTTGTGAACGTTTTAATGAATTGAAACTCGTTACTCGGGGGTTATTGCGGTCGCTGATTATAAATCTGATGTTAGTTTTTAAAAATTAAAAATGGCGGATCCAATATGGCGGATGACTTTTTTAAAAATTGATCGGATTCGCTTGAAAATCGTTACTCGGGGGTTTTTAGGGTCGCTGATTATAAATCCGATGTTCGCTTTTCAAAATTCAAAATGTCGGTTCCAATATGGGGACGAAATTTAAAATTTGTTCGAATTCGTGTAAAACTAAAAAATTTCTTTGTCACCGAAAACGAGGTTACTGATTAAGAATCTTATGTTCGTTTTCCGAAATTCAAAATGTCGGATTAAATGTAGTAGACGTAGTTTCAAAAAATGTTTGGATTCACATATTAATTTATACTTAAGGGGTATTTTTAGGTCGATGATTAGAAAATTCATGGGTTTCTGGGGCATATGTAAGGGGCCGTTCATAAACTACGTCACGCCTTAGAGGGGGGGTGGAATTTATTTTTGTGACGTTCTGTAAAAAAATGGCGCCAAAGCATGTAAAATTTGTGACGAGGGGAGGGGGTGGAAAAATTATGCAAAATAGTGTGACGTAGTTTATGAACGGCCCTTAAATTAGTATTTATTTGTATTAATTGTGTGTTTAATTGTTCTTACCAATGTCATAGTTATTTTGTTCTTGTAGTATTCCAAGTATTTTTTTAAATGCAGTAGCTTCAAAGGAAGCATTTATTAATTTATTATGTAATAAACACCATCGGTAGTGGGACAAAGTTAATATTTTGTCATTAGTGTCAATACTGAAGTATTAGCTTATGTTTACTGCGCGTAAATAAATGAAAAGAGTTTAGTTACCGTGACAAAGAAAAGAAAAAAGTGATATATCAGATACAAAAGGTAAATCCACGAAAAAAATATGTAAGAAGCAGAATTAATTTTAAAAAACAAAGTTTTTAATCAATCTAAATTTGTGAATTTTTAAGTTTATAATCTTTTAAATTCTTAATATTAAGTTCTTTATCGTGTTTTTCTTTGTCTCACGTCTTTTCAGTTATTGTGATCTTCATTAAAGTAAATTTGTAAAATAAATAATAAAGTTATGAATATTATGTTTGCTCATTTAAAAGACCATGTACATATTTGTATTAAAACCATACATTTAAAAATTCTGAAAAGCAAATCCGTATAATTTGTAAATAACTCGTCCGCCATATTGGATCCACCATTTTGAATTTATATAAACTAACATTTGATTCGTAATCAGCAACCCCAAAAAACCCCGAGTAACGAATTTCAAACGAATCCGATCAATTTTTAAAAAAGTCATCCGCCATATTGGATCCGCTATTTTGAATTTTCAAAAACTAACAACGGATTCATAATCAGCGACCCCGAAAACCTCCGATAAACAAGTTTCAAGCGAATTTGAGTAATTTCAGAAAAGTTTGTCAAATTTTATTTTGTTGTATTTTTTTGTCAAAGTACCTAACTTTGAAGTGAAATTGTGAAAAAACTAATGCAGCTAGAAAGCTGCGGTTTAATGCGTTCACAGGTCTCCTGAGAGGTGGGCAGGTTATTCTAACATGTAACGCTACAAACTTGGTGGGAAGTTGTTCCAAATGACTTCCAGATTCCAAATTTTCAAACCGATAAATCGTACCTGATCCTCTTTTCGAATTATCTCTTATACAGATAGTCGGAAACTTAAAAAATTTATTATTTTAATGTGGAAGCTTTGATTCAGAAGACTGCTGATTTTTCGTTACTAAACATTTTTTAGACAAAGATTTTATAGATAATTATGGATCCGAATTGTCTCTTCTTCAAGAAACTTTTTGATTTTTTGAATTTGGACACGTCTGTCACATGTTAAAGTGCTATAAATATGAATATATATATGGGACGTTTCACGTCAAACGGCCCAAAGCTGTGCCCAAAATTGTATGCAATGAAAATACAAGTTATGCACATGAAAATACTCGTCATGACATCCCCTTTCAATTGCAAAGTGGCATAATTGTAAATTACAAAATGGCGTCCTTGCTACGTCAATTAGAAGAGGCTAAACTCGAAAATAAGTAAATATATTTATTAATTACTTTTAAAAAACAATGCATAAATATTGGGTCAAAATATATTTTAATGTTTTTGGGGTCGCTGATTACGAATCTGAAGTCAGATTTTAAAAATTCAAAATGGCGGATCCAATATGGCGGACGAATTTTAAAAAATTTATTGAATTTGCTTAAAACTTTTTACTCGGGGGTTTTCGGGGTCGCTGGTTACGAATCTGAAGTCAGATTTTCAAAATTCAAAATGGCGGATCCAATATGGCGGACGAATTTAAACAAACTTATTGAATTCGCTTGAAATTTTTGTTCAAATAACGCAATCATAAAAATGGCGTTATTTGTCTTTCAGTAGGCCAACGTAAAGTGATTCTTTTTAGTACGTTGTTACGAAAATACTGCGAATGAGAGTTCAGTTCAAAAACGAACTTTGTTTGTGCTTGTTCGAGTATTTTTGTAACGCTCGAGTAGTTGCAATTCCGTCCAGTAGAGGCGTGATTATGTTTTTGTTCAGTTACCTACTTTTACCGTGTCTTAAAGCTGCAACACAGCATCTGTCAAATACTAAGAGTTTCTAACCTCCTTTTCGCGATCACTCGTGTGAAAATTCCGTTTTTATTCATTAATGATATTATTTTTATTAATACGTCGAAGTACATGACTAGGTTTCAGGGGGCTTCGCCCCCAACGTGTCCGGTGACTTGGGGTATTATAAAATGCGATTATTCGAAATGTCGAAAATTGTTATTATTCTTTTGAGTTGGTTTTTTGTAGTCCGGGGACTTTGCCCCCTCCAACTCCCTGATCGGTGCTCCGCCCCTGGACCCCATCTGGGGGAGACCCCCCGAACACCCCCGCGCGATCAACTAGTAGCGTACGCTTGACAGTGGATCTGTGTTCCGAATCTTATGTAGCCGTTTCTCAACATTCTTTTCAATTAAATAAGTTTTTCAGTGTCAACGCCTTTTTATGATTTTGTTATGAAAAGTATCGTGGACAACACGTGTAGCGGCATTTTGGAACTCGCGCTACTATTGCGTAACGAGTCATGTACTTCGACGTATTAATGAAAATAATATCATTAATGTATAAAAACGGAACTTTCACACGAGCGATCACGAAAAGAAGGTTAGAAACTCTTAGTATTTGTATTTATTTTGTGACGCTGTAAAATTTAATTTAATTTTACAAGTCACAATTTTTTAATTTTTAATTGGTTAAATTTTGAGGTTGTAACGGAAATTCCAAGATTGAGTTTTGTATGATATTTAATTTTAAGTAAACTAATTTTGTATTTTTGTAAAAAATTCCGTTTTCGATTCCTGTTTCCTGAGTCATCGTGGGATATTATTGGCTGTATTGATGGATAAATTGGACGCAATTTGTTTAATTAATGGACAATATTATTTTACAAGATTCTGGATATAATTCAAATTTTACCGCCTTATGTCACCTGTATTCCCTGTCAACCAATCACAACTCATGAACCATTTTTGAATTTCTTCTGATCCATGGCCCAAGGATATTTCGATTTTATATTATTTTTGGATTAATTTACGTTTATTTATGGATTTATTGTATTATTGAGAAAATTATTGAGTCCTTGGTAGAATTTATTGAGTCTTCCGTCTCCCATACGCGAAGCTCCTATGCCGGTGGCCCATTCGAATCGTCATACACACCTGATGCTAAGAAATACATACAAATATTTGGAATTATTCCCGTTGTGTTTTTCGTATTGTGATTTCTACATCAAAATCGTATTAGAAGAAAATGGAGGAGAGTCTATTAAATTATTTATAATCATTCAACATCTGGATTAAAACAAATTGAAGTTTGTGAGAAGAATTCAAATTTGGGGCCCTTATTTCAATTTTTACGTTCCTGAATGTTTTCGGCGTTGAAAAAGCAGACGACAAATGAAGATCGTTTCCATAGAAACACAAATACACGAAGCTGAAAATTTTGCCGTTCGAGTCATTCGTTTGTCGACAGCCTCAAAAAAAGTCTATTAAAAATTAAATTTAAATTATATTATAATTGATTTAATCAGTAATTAATTGTGTGCCCTTTTTCGTGTGTGCTATTGGTTTTCTTGTTTTCGGTAAGCTGATTTATTTTTCAAGAATTCAGTGAGAATTTTCTTTGTGTTTAAATTGATTAATTTTATTGATGTGATTCATTTTAGTGTCCATCTTTGATTTTTTTTAATTGATTTACTTCACTGAATTCTTTTCTATTTATTTCTTTTAATATTTTTGATTTTTACTATGTTTTAATTATTGATTTTGTGATTTTCTCTATATTGAAATATTTTCTCCCCTATTGTGTTTTAACCATTCCCTAAATTGATTATTTTTTTACAATTGTGTGATATTTTCTCAATTATGTGATATATTTCCCTCTTTATGTTTTGACCATTCCCTAAATTGATAATTTATCAATTCCTGAATATTTCTTTTTTATATATTTTTCCAAATATTGTTTCGACCCGATTTATATTGATTTTATTGATTTTGTGAAATTCAATTATATTTTTGATGGTTTTGTGAATGGAATCTTGGAATTTTCGTGACAAATGAATACTTAAATTATTATCATTTTTTTTATTTGATTTAGTGTATTAAAATTTTGTAATTTAAAAATGTTTGATTAAAATTGTGATTATTTTGTAAATTTTGTGATTTAATTAATTTTTGAATTTTGATAATTGATTTTTTTTAGTCTTTATCGCTAACGACCTCCCCTCTCTACCGCTTAATTTCTTGAGTAGCCGCGTAATTTTGAAGTCGTTGCTTATTATGAATTTCCTTTTGTAATTTGACTCTGTCTGGCGCCCAACAATAATTTTGATTTAATTTATGAAATTTTGAATTTCTTTATTTCTTTTTGCAACGCCAGTGTAACCTAAAATTTATTTATTGTTATTAGTTTATTTAATTGATTAACATTTAACCTGGTGGTCTCGTGTGTTAGTAATTAAATATTTATTCGATTTTTAAGGTTATATTTTTGTGTCATATAACCGAATTAAGTTTTGTTTTTATTCATTTCAATAAATAATTTAGAGGGTTACAATTTATTAATTATTATTAATAATAATAAAACTCGTTACGAAAACTTAGCGTTCGTTCCAAAAAAGCCGCTAGTTCACACTTGTTACGCAATGTACTAACTCGGGGGTTTTAGACACCTGAAATAACAATTTTTAAATGAATTGCATATGATTTTCAAAAAGCCGTCTGCCATAATAAGACCTCAATTTAAAATTTTAAAAATTTGACAAAATATTCGTACTCAACAACACCGAAAACCCATAAGAAATTTTTTTTATGAAAATTCATCAATCTTTTAAAAAAAAATTTTCAAAAATAACGAATTTTCACAACATTTGTTCGCCATATTGAATTCGACATTTTTAATTTTGCAAATTGGACTTCAGATTCGTAATCAGCGACCCTGAAAACCCCCGAGTAAAAAGTTTTAAGCAAATTCAATAAATTTTTTTAAATTCGTCCGCCATATTGGATCCGCCATTTTAAATTTTTAAAATCTGACTTCAGATTCGTAATCAGCGACCTCAAAACCCCCCGAGTAAAAAGTTTCAAGCGAAGTCAAGAAATTTTTTTAAATTCGTCCGCCATATTGGATCCGCCATTTTGAATTTTTAAAATCTGACTTCAGATTCGTAATCAGCGACCCCAAAAACATTAAAATATATTTTGACCGAATATTTATGCATCGTTTTTTAAAGGTAATTAATAAATATATTTACTTATTTTCGAGTTTAGCCTCTTCTAATTGATGTAGCAAGGACGCCATTTTGAATTTTCAATTATGCCACTTTGCAATTGAAAGGGGATGTTATGACGAGTATTTTCATGTGCATAACTTGTATTTTCATTGCATACAATTTTGGGCACAGCTTTGGGCCGTTTGACGTGAAACGTCCCATATATATATATATATACAGTATGAAAACCTACCACGTTAGTCATATCCCATGAGTGGGAGTGAGACAGACTTATGCGATTCCCATACTTTCCTATGACTGACGGATAGCTTTTCTTACTGTATATATATAATTTCAGAAGCCTGCAAAAAATAAAAATTTTTGTTGTCTGAGATCGAGAAGTCATTTACCGTAGCTTTTTTTGCGCTAAATCTGAATTAACATTTAACTAAAACCTCCCATCACGTCAGGATTTTGAGAAAATTGGGGGTAAAATACCCAAAAACATTTTTTAGTAGTTTTTGAAAATTTCTACTGGGTAAATCCGACGTGCTATAGACTTGTCATATGAGTTAAATTAAAGCTTGAACCCTATACTTTACGGAAATATAGCGATATTACCAACAAAAAACTAAATTAACTGTCAAAATTGATTTTTCAACAGTTGTCCTGCATACAAATTTACCTAAATAGAGAAATATCACCTTGAGTGGACCGCCTAAGCTTTTATTCTAAAAAATTCATTATGAAAGCAAATTAATCGGTGGTTTCTATTCCAAGCTTTAGTTTAGATCCCTAGATAAGTGTTTATACCATAATAACTTTGATTTTTTTTATTTGGAAAAAAAATTGACTTTTAAAAAATAGCTAATTTTTAAGAAATGAAAAAAGTGTAAGCTTGAGTGGACCACTCCTTAAAAATTGTAAAAGTTATTCTTAATTATGTAATGTATTTAATATTATTCAATAAATTATATATTATTCAATAAAAAACAGTACATACCTACTTAAACGGATTTATCTTGAACCAATCTCGTAGAACATCGATTGATAACAATAATATTTATGGGTATATAACAGTCTTATAAACTGCAAACACAAAAAGATGCTATTAGGTATGTAGATACTTTTATTTTAAAAAAATATTAAAATAAGAGAAATTATTAAATATTCTACTCGCATAAAATCAGACATAAGCATTTAGAATCGGTTATTCTCGTCTTTCTAATTTTACATCGATACTCGATCATTACAAATATTAACTAATTAACAACGCTTTCTTTCAATTTGATGTCAAAAGATGAAATTTAGAGGCATAACTTTCAATATAAATATTGTGTTGAAAGAAATATTATTTATTATGCACACAATACTTTAAAAAGACAAGTCATGTCTCCTACAGTTATAAACAAGAAACCGCCATTTTTGTCCTCACTACGTGAACCAATCATTTACGGATTTTATTGCAAATCACGTAAGAGTTTTTAATATGCGGTATGTTTTTGGCGCGACAATTTAAATTTATAGAATGGTTTTAATTTACTTTAGTTGCTTCAACACTAACGATTTTTTGTGTATTTAAGAAAAATAACATTAGGTGGCCGAACTTACTCTCACTTACCCTATTCAATTTTTTGCATAAAAATTGCAATATTTCGAAGTTAGTGTACATAATTTGTTCACTTTTTCCATTCTATTTTAATAGAATGTGGAACATTGGGATGCGGTTTTAAATTGCAATCAAAGAAGCAAATTTCATAATTTAAAATTTATAAAGTTATAACACTTGACTTTTGATTAAGAAGATAGCACAAAATAATTGCAATTTCACTTTGAAGAATTCCCAATGCAAGATTGTGGTCCGGATCAAAATCAATATTTTGCACTACGTAAAAACTAAGCAGTTTATTAATAGTTCAGTCCTCGCCTATTCCTCTCTCTTTTTATTTAGAATCAGAATCATTATTTTCTTGAGTCCATATAAGTTTAGGATCCTCGACAATAAGATTTTGACGTTCTTCTTTGTCAGGTATGCATGTTCGACAATTGAAATTATCATTAAAACTCGAATAGTACCCTAAACCTCTGTTTAGACTTAAATTGTCTCCTGACAAAATGATAATCGCGAATTTAATATTTATTTGTACTCCGTTTACATTGATCAATATTCCTATTGTTTCTAATTCTATCAGGTGTTCGATTAATTTCCAAAAAATCTGCTCATAATTTGATTGATCATAATCTTGTGCGTTGTGTAATTGATCAAGAAATATATTTTCTAAACAACTTGCAAATTCGTCTGGAATGCAAGCTATTGTGAAATTTAGAGCTCCAATTTTATGAACACTCTGATGAGTTCCAAGCGGGTTACTAATCTCAAAATCATCAAAATAAACAATGAGAGGTAACACTGTTCCCGATATTGTCTGTTTCATCTCCTTCCACAAAGTACCTTGTACAACAGAAGTAATTTTATGACGATTCACAACACAAAGTTAATATTAAATTTCTAGACATGGTCGCAATTTCTTTAGGAACAGCCGACAGTTTGACCAATTGCTTCAAAAATGTTTTAGAGCAAAAATACATCACACAAGCAAATTTGGTAGGATATTCTTCTGATACGACGAATGTAATGTTTAGACCATTCAACTCAGTTGTCGAACCTTTTAAAAGACTGTTGCCAGTTATTCTTGCAATCAAATGCTCGTGTCACAGTTCACATTTATCTGTAAATCGTGCATATTTAAAGCTTCGCGGTCTGTCGAGGATCTTTAAGATGTGATACTCTATCGGATTTCCAAACATTTTTTCAAACTGAATTACATGAGATTCTTACCCAAAGTACTACTCGTTGGTTGTCTTTGAAACAGTGTGTGGACCGCGTTTTGGATCAATTTCCTGCATTAAAGTCATATTTTACAGAGCTAGTTTTCAGATATCCATCGAGTACAATTGAAACAATTTTAACCACAATAAAAAATAAATTTACAATAATTTATTTAAAATATGTCAAAAATCCTCTGCAGCAATTACCGTGAGGTGCAGTACATTAAAAATGCTATAAGCTGCTCAAACTCTCAGTGATGCCAGGACCGATGGTGGTTTTGCGCAAGCAGATGTTGATTTTTTCTATGAAAGTATCCGACAATTTTACATCCCTCTAATTTCTGAAATCAAGAAGCGATACCAATTTTCAGATCCAGTTTTCGAATTTATCATCATTGTTGATCCACCTTTTGCACACTCATTTAAAGTTAATTCACTGCAGTGTGTTATGCAAAGATTTTCGATTTTGATACAATTTGTAAGCGAACAGAAACTTTATGAAGAGTGGCGTTCACATTGTTTGAATTATGAAGAGTATCAATTTGAACCATCTCTGTCTCCTAAATATTACTGACAGCAAGTTTTTCTACTTAAAAATGCAGTCGGTACACCGTTGTTCAACGATTTGAAAAAAGTTATGGGACTTTCACTAGTGTTACTATTTTCTAACGCCTCAGTGGAACGATTGAGTAGTCAAGTAAAATTGACTAAATCACTGCACAGAAATCATTTAGAAAATAAAACTCTTAATGCTTTGTTGACTACGCGGAAAGGGTTCACAGAAAACGGCGGATTTATCAAATTTAATCCAACGAGAGATATGTTACAATAAAAAATTTTATGATTAGAATTATTATATTTGATTCATGTTAGAGATTTTATTGAAAATATTTTCTATATAGCGCGGCGGGTTATAAGTGGACATGCGCTGCGTCAGCCATACACACTATTGGCGGGAAATATGAAATAATTATAATTTTGTAGAAATAGATACTAATTTTCCAAATTTAACGTTACAATAAAAAATTATTATATTGAGTAACATAATGTTTAATCAATGAAATAAATAGATAAGGTGTTTAATATAAAGAAATATATTTTGGTCCCATATTAATGTGGAATGAAATTGTAATAAATAACATAATGTTACAATATGAATGTTTTAAGATAGTTATTTTTACATATCTTTGAATGATAAAATTTGTATTCATTATTTAAATTTAATATACATAATAGTTAATATTTGAATTTCCCCAGAATTTTTCACGAAACAATTGTCAATTCATTAGTAAGTTTCTTCACTAAATGTAAAGTTGAAACCTACTATATCGACTAAGTTTAAAATTCTAGAAGTACCGGTATCTAAACCTAGACGTCACCGCCAAATCAATAAATAATTGAAAAATAAATATATTAAGTCATGAAAAAATGTGAGACTAACTCTGCTGGGGCTCGAAACCCAGGACCTATCAATAATAGTTAAAAATATTCTAAAATATTAATATATTTTATTCACTTTAATTAAATATGAAAAAAAAATTTATGTGTTTAAACTCGTTCTGGAGCAGGTCTTCTCCTGTAAGACGAATACATAATTATATATTACTCTTTCAATTTTATCTTATTTTTAAAACATTCTTATAAATCAATGAATCGTTTAAAAAATGTTTTGAGCTCTTGAGACTATTCATTTTTCTTTCATATGTAATGTTGTAGAAAAAATTTTTTTGATTTGATTTTTATTTATTATTTTTCTACAAAAAAATTATAATCGTTAATTAGTAATTATTGTTTTATATTTAACCGTCTTTATTTTTAAAAATTATTATTTGATATTAGATAAGAAATCTGAATTATTATCCAAGTGACTTTAAAAATGAAAATAATGAAAATGATTAAGTATCAAAAATATTTTGAATAAAAAATAGAATCAATTTGTAACATTTACATGCCCACACAGTATCTTGTTAATATTACTACACTAATTATTTATACAGTGTATCGAGATATTCTCCAAGAAGTTTGATTGGATGTTTCTTCGATGCTCGTCACATCTCACCCACTCGAAGTCCAAAACCTTTCTTAATTCTTGCTTCAGGGATTGTTTCAAGTTTGCCTCCCAAAGCAAATGATGGTAATTTCACCTCTAAAAGTTCAACACCTCTTGTAAAGCCTCTTTCAAAATAATCTGCGAATTAAATTTTCTTTGTAAAGTGTAATTTAGTTCGTTCTTATTAATTCCTCTGGAGATACATCCGTA